CAGCTCTCAGAATGTAGAGGAATGTGGATCTCTGTGAGTTTGAGCTAGCCTGATTGACAAAATGAGTTCCAGGACATTCACAGAGAAACAAACAAACAACAACAACAAAAAAAAAAAAACCAAAAAAACAAACAAACAAAACAACAACAACAACAACAACAACAAAAAAAAAAAGACAAGGAAAGCAAATAAAAGAAATAAAAAAAGACAGGAAGAAGTCATAGTATCTCTATTTGCAGATGATATTCTACATCTAAGAGACCCAAAACTCTCCCCACAACTCTCAGCTCTGATAAACATTGTGCTAGGAGCAGGCTACTAAAGTAACATATACAGATCAGTAGCCTTCCAATGACAAGCATACTGAAGAAGAAATCAGGGAGGCAATCCCCCTCAATTGCTAACACCAGAATGTATGAAAAATCCTTCCAGAACTACTTTGTAAGATAATTTAAAAATATAACTTTAATCAAGAATGAGTTTGAAGGACAGTACCATGCATGAACGAACAACACTGCTCCCAGAAAATACAGGTTATGAAATGAAAAACTTAGTTCAAGGACTGAGCTATCTTTCTACAAGTCATTGGTCAGGGAGGCCTCAGAAGCACCCAAAACACAGGCTATTTAGTGTCACTGCTCTCAGTTATCCACACAACCAGATGAGCAGATCTTATTGCCAAAACATTGTAGACTAATTGAAGGACAGAGAAATCAATCTGGAATTGATAGAGAAATTTCCCTGCTGGCTAGTTTCCATACAGGAGAGGTGCTCCAAAGGTTGCTGGGGAATAAAAGACATTAGGGTTCTTAAGAAGCACTGGGCCTTGCATGCATGCTACAACACCAACCTTAACAAGCAATATGTGACCACTTACCACATTGGTGTGGCTCTTACAGAGATAGCCAACTACTTTGTAGTTGCATTTAAGGTCTGTGCCAGGAGATAATTTGTGCCTGGTGTTGTAAACTTGGCCAGACCCTGTTGGCTGGGAAAGTCATAGGTTAAAGGTAAGAGTGAGAGGTCAGGGGATGGAGTTCTACGATGCTATTTGCTAAATGTTCATGCTGTCAACTTGTCTTCTAAATGTTTTTATGCCCATGGATTTCTTACACTCTCAGCTTTGGTGGGAGAAGTGTCTTTTTGCAATGGGCAGAGAATAATTGGGAGGAAAAATCTGAAAAAGAGGAAGGAGCTAGAGAAGGAGGACTCAAGGAACCAGTTACCCAGCTACACAGCCAGCCACGGAGTAAGAAGTGGAGAAAGGTACACAGAAATAGAGTAAGATAAAAGCCTAGAGGCAAAAGATAGACAGGACAATTTAAGTTAGGAAAAGCTGGCAAGAAACAAGTCAAGCTAAGGCCAGGGATTCACAAGTAAGAATAAGACTCTATGTGTGATTTATTTGGGGGCTGGGTGGCTGGCTCCCAATAGAGAAAAAGAATTTAAAAAGAAAAAAAATTACAACTAGTAACTGATCAAAGTGACTGTAAGTGAGTGACAGGAAGGGTTAGAGGGAGCTTGAGGAAAGAGTGAAAAATGAGATTCTCAAGAGATAAACAAAACATATTGGTTAAAAAGAAACCAGCAAGATATAGTGCTGTACACCTTTAATCAGCACTCAGAGGAAGAGGCAGGAGGATCTCTGTGACTTTAAGGCCAGCCTGGTCTACAGCTAGATCAGATAAAGTGACAGTTAAGACAAGACCCTATCTCCAAAAAACAAATAAACAACAATAACAACAAAAATCCAGGAACCAGTTACTCCAACTGCTCACCACCTCATCTAAGCTTCCATGGAAACAATAAAACCCATTCCAAGTCAAAAGGCATCTGTTCAATCTTCCAAAACCTAGACTGTCATCATCAAAAAAGGAAACTTTCAGATAAGTTCTTTGCTTTGGTTTTTTGAGACAGGGTTTCCCTGTGTAACAGCCCTAGAACTCGCTTTGTAGACCCAGCTCAGATATTTTCAGATATTTTCTTTGTTGTCAAAAGCTATTTTAAATTGTAAAAACAAATTAGGAAGATGTGTCATCTATTTCAGGATACACCTAACCACCATGGCTGTGATCACCCCGGGGAAATCTCTCTTTGGTGCCCCAATTTCCCTACGAAAATAATCAATAGAGCCTAGCAATGGTGGTGCATGCCTTTAATTCCACTCAGAAGGCAGAGGCAGTAGGATCTCTGTGAGGCCAGCCTGGTTTACAAAGCCACACAGAGAAACCTTGTCTCAAAAAAACAATCAATAAATAAAATAAATATAGCCTTGTTATAAAACTTGTTTGGGAGTTTAACCTAAACTTAGGAAGAGATGATCTTACTCTCATCAACATACATATGAATCCCTCAGTTCTTGCACACACACTCACAATCACTCATACAGACCCAAAGTTATCCCTTAAGACAGCTTAAAGTATGCAAAGTGAATTAGCAAAGTACCTCAATTAATACCAACAAGATACAAGTTTCAGAGGGAAAAAAACCACTATTACTTAACCTCTAACTTAAAAACATTTTATATTAATAGTAATTCTAAAAAACAACACATATAAACAAATGAATTTTTTCCTTATCATGGGGTCATCACCAAAAGTTAAGACATTCGGCTTATTTCTTCATAGAACAATACTTATTTCAGACTCTCCAGAGAAAATTTCAGAAAAAAAAAAGTTTTAGAATATTATTCATTTCTTGCTTTTGGGGGGATATGCCACATAAAAAAGCTAGAGGAAGCCGTGGGTGTCTGACTTCTCCTCCTATCATGTGAGTCCTGAGGATCAAGCTATCTGTCTTCAGGACCTCTACCCACTAAGCTGTCTCACCAGACTGAAACTACTCTCTTTTTTAACTCAGATTACTGGGCTACTTTCTAGCATACTTACATAAACAAGTATGTCAGGTTTTCATTAACAATCACTACCTCTGGGGCTATTAGAAAGATTTTAGAATATTCTGAAAACTAACAAAATCCATAAAAGCAATCATTTGCCCCACTTTGTCCTAAATTCCCATCCCTTCTGCATCTGATTTGACTTTAATAACAATTTAACACTTACAGAAGGTGGAAATGACTTCATTCTCGTGCAAAATATTTCCAAGTTAGCTTTTAGCTGACAACTTCCACTTTAAAATAGCAGTGACCGGTGACCTCAGTGAGGAACCTGAACCCCAGAATGAAAAGCCTGTATGTATTACCCTTTGTCTTCTAGATTAAACATAGTAATCAGAATTGAGTTTTAAGTTTCAAGTTTCTCTTTAAACCAGTTGTAGTAGCACAAGGCCATAATCCCAGGACCTGGAAAAGTAGAGCCAGAAGCCCCAAGATCAACCCAAGGTCAAATTCTCTGCCAAATTCACTGTTGGCCTAGGCTGTGTGACACACTACCCCACCCCCACAAAAATTTCTTAAGGGCAGAGAATGACTACTTTGAAGTTTTAACTAATGAAAGTAACATTCACATTTTGGGGGATCTAACACAAAAGGCGAGGGGGGGGGAAGGGAAAAAAATCAGAAAGATATACCAGAAGTACTGGACACTGGATGCTCTAACTTGACATTTTTATTTGTAAAGAAAAGCAAGTCCCATTAAACCTCTAAGATAATTATGGTCAGGTTTCAGGTGTTTGAAACAACGGGCTGGGGATATGGTTCAGTTGGCCCACTGCTTGCTGAAGCATGCATAAACTCCTGGGCTCAATCCCTGGCAAAAATAGAACTGAGTATGGTGGTACAGGCCCATAAACCCTGAACCCTGGAAGTGGAGTCAAGTTCTTTAGGAGTTCAAAGCCATCCATGGATAAATTTAAGGCCAGTCCAAACTACCTAACATCCTGCCTCAAAATAACCAGAAGCAGAGAACTGATTCAGCCTCCCTTCCCACCAGGATCACTCTTGTCAGGCAAAGGCTCTTGAGTCTTATTTTTCTTACTTTCTTCCAACCCAGAGGGGGGGAAAAAAAGAGTAAATTTAAAAGTAAATATAAGGAAACATTTAGTGTTTGTGCATCTTCTATCCAGACACTATTAATCATTTCTTTTAAAATTAAATTACCTACCTCACGGGGGTGTTGTGAGGATTAATTCATTAGTGTTTCTAAAGCACTTTGAGATCCTCAGGTCAAAGGCGCTATAGAAGTGCAAAGTAGTAGTATTATTACTAGATTCTTTGCTTAGTTAAGGAATTTCACAATCCTTTAAAACCTTATGCTGGATTTTGATTTAGACATTTATTTGTAAAATCCTGTAATTTATCAACGTTAAATTCTTCTGAGTATGTTATAGACAGACAGGGACAGATGTTTCAAAGCCAATTGTCTTAAAAGTTACCCCTTGGCCTAAAATAACTGGAGCAAGCTTGGAAATATCCAGTATGACAAACTGTCCATACAAAATTTTTATGAAAAACCCTGCCATTCAGATTTGCAAGTGTGCATTAAGTTGTAAGAAAAACAAAATTGAAATGTACTTAACCACAGACTTGCATTTAAAAAAAATTCATTCATAAAAGAGGAAAGGAAAATGCATTCAACTTATTTTAAAAGCTAGCACTTTGTTGACTCGTTAATTACATTCACATATGTGCAAGTGCAACACAGCAGACATTTAAAGCCCAGTAACAGTTTTTGTATAAACTGATAGTAAAATAATTTGAGTGAGAGTCTTCCAGTCAACCTCACCCTTAATTACGCAGTAGAGAGCCTTGAGAGAAGGTCAACTTATCACTGATGGTAAAGGCTTCAAATCTGGTTAAATCTTGAATTAACTACTTCCTACCCTCTTCTCTAACCAAAGGTTCTTACAATTAAAATGGATTTTCAAATAAAAGCAACAAAGGCATACATACACACACAAAAAGCTAAGAGAAGCCTTGAGCTATATGCATACAGAATATTTACTTAGGGTTTTAGAGCTTCACCACCCTGAGGGATTTCTACAGCACAAATTCCAGTCTCAAGAGCAAACTGAAAAGAAGACACTGAACTTTCACCACTTACCTCCTGCTCTTGTTGAAAGATGACAACTCTCCCACCTTTATCTCCTGTTGCTAGTAATTCTCCAGAATGATTAAACTCTACTGTAGAAATTATATCTGCTGTATAATTGAAACAAAAACAGAAAGACATCAGTTTTTGTCCCCCAACTAGCTGAGGGTGTTCCTAACAATACTCTAGATCTATGCATCAGCCTGGCATCAGAAACAAAGAGTTCCAAGCTCCTTTTGTGAACACTTTCATTGGGGGGGGGTCCCCAAAATAAACCAACACAAAAACCATTCTGCCAATCTTGAACACAGTAATGCCAGATCTGTAAATACTTCTCTTAATTTGCGAATGCAAAGAAATCAACTACATATTTATGGGATTTTGTTTTGTTGGTCAGACTTAGTATCACCATGTGTATGTGTGATTTGTAGAGAAATGAACATTCCAAGGTGGGCATGTGGGGGTCAAAAGGACAACTTTGTGGAACAGGTTCTCTCCTTCAATCTTCATACAGGTCCCAGGGTCTAGATTCAGGTCCCCAGGCTTGCACTACAAGTGTTATTCCCACTGAACCATCTTGAAAGCCCAGTTGGCAGTTTTCTGGGAAAATGGTTGCTTGTAGCCTGATAAAGTCTTTTCTTTCCTGTATTTCCTGAAGTATCTCATAATACCACTGAACAATGATTATTTTGTGAAATTACCTAATTTAAATACTATCTGCTGATTTGGTGTTTCAAAACTAGCTGAATGGCTCACCCTGGCCTCCAACTTGCTGCTATCATATGCCCTGAACCTCTTGAGCTTTAGAGTTACAGGTATGTGCCACCACACATGGCTCTATATACTTTTGATGAACATGATGACATTTTTGCTTTTGTTATGTTGGAGGGGTTACAATGGATCAGATGCTCAAGACTCAAGTACACTAAGCAATGACCATCTCTGCTGCTAGGGTTGTTTATACAAACCCGAGTCTTTAAAAATCAAACCACTGTGGTAGTACATGTCAGTAATCTCAATAATGGGGAGGCAGACACAACAGGATCAGGACTTCAAGCGCACCTTGACAACATGAGACCCTGTCTCAAAAAACAAAACAAAACAAAAAAGTACAACAAAAATCTAAGACAGCATGGAAAGGGGGGTATTTTTAATGTAAAAATAATTTGAGATGGAATTCTAATAGCCATAAATCCAAATCATATTCTCAAATATTAGTAATACACCCTTGAAGACAAAATAAACACAGTTATTAGAATACACACCATTACAACAAAGACAGAATTATGTCATAAAAGCTACCAACATGGAGAAAACTTTTAAGATTTTTTTCTTTTGGAGGTTTTGAGAAAGGGTTGGTTCCTCTGTGTTAACAGCCCTGGTTCTCCTGGAACTCATCTGTAGACCAGGCTGGTCTCAAACTCACAGAGATCCATCCACCTGCTTCTGCCTCCCAAGTGCTGGGATTAAAGGTGTGCACCACCACCATCAAGATTTTGAAACCAACTATTCCATGTTTCAGAAAAACAAAAACAATGACTCGATTTCCAGAAGCCTTATACTAAATAGGATGTACGCCTTAGCACAGAACACTGAGTAATGTTCTCATAAACAAGAAATGATGAAGACCAAAATAGTCTTTTAAAAGGAAAGGAATCCTAAAGACAATAAAAATGTTATTCTACAATAAAGATGGTCTTACTAATCTTAGAACATTCAAATATGGTTAGTTAAAAAGGAGCCCCCCCCCAAACATTCATCAACTTAACACACAGCATATTTTAAACACACAGGTTTTCAAATTATGCAACAAAATGAAGTCTTTAAAAGGCACCTTAAGTTTGTACAACAACACAAACTGAGTTTAGAACAGATCCTATGAACACAGCAACTCCTTTTTAAACTTGTCATCTAGGTTTGCCCTTTGCAAATGAAATCATCACTTCTTTGGGGGTGGAATGCAGTTGGCGGGACTGACAGCAGCAGCATCCGTGACCTATTTTGATCTTGCCTGTTCTTGCTTTGTCATCTATTTCTCTGAAGGTTTTGTGTGGCATAATAAACAGGTAAGATGATCAGATAGCTAAGAAGTCAAAACTTTAACACTTTTGAAACAAACATCCACTTAAATACAGTGACAATGGCTGCACATTAATGGACCAAATTCTCAGCCTTATCATTTTCTAAGTTATTTCAGCTCTGAGTTGCACTCACTTGATGGGAGATGTCATTCTGTAAATATGTTTCTCTTATTGGTTAATTAATAAAGTACAGTTGGCCAATAGGAAAGCAAGATAGGCTGGGCTAGGAGACAAGGAGGAGAGAGGAAGTGGTAGGGAGGAGATCCAAGATGGAAGACGAAGAGCAGAAGGCCAGCCCCTCTCTCCAGTAAGATAAGACCATGTGGAAGTACTTAGAACAATAGAAATGGGTTAATATTTAAGACAGAGCTAGTCAATAAGAAACTAGTAACTGGCCAACAGAATTTTATCTAATACAGAGTCTCTGTGTGTTATTTGGGGCTGGAGCAGTAGCGGGCCCAGGCTGGCAGGGAAAAATCTTACTCATAACACTCATTGGTTTTATTTATTCGTTTTGTTTATTTATTTATTTATTTATTGGTTTTTCAAGACATGGTTTCTCTGTATTGTTTTAAAGCCTGTCCTTAAACTCACAGAAATCCACCTGCCTCTGCCTCCCAAGTGCTGGTATTAAAGAGGTGCACCACCAACACCTGGCTGGTTTTATAATTCTAAATGAGGATGACTTTGCAAAGAAATCAACTAGCACAGATATATAAGATTTCTGAAATGGAAGCTGAACCTATTTTAAATACACAATAAATAAAGAGATATAAAGGGTAGTTCTAATCACATGTTGGAAACTATGGCCCACCAATAAGCATATATAATGACTGAAGCCCAGTACTAAATACTAAAACCTAAAGCTATTTACCAGCTAGCCATTTTCAGAGAATGGCTGACAACCCTAACATTAAAATAAGCACAGCTTGTTTATACAAAGTGGCACCAAGCGTGGTTCCATAGTATAGCGGTTATAACATCTTCTTTACACATACAAAAGTGGCACCAAAACAAATTAATGGACACAGATATATAGAACTGAAAAAATGAGCATTAAATATGTTCATTTCCTATTTACAGCACTACTGTATCATTTTTTTTTTTCATTTTCCACATATAGGAAAACAAAAGGGAACTCTGGAGATCAGGTATTTACAAGTATCAAGTGACAAAGCCAGGATTCAAATTCAGTAGACATGTGGTTACTGTAGCAACGTAGGATTCTGTAAATCATGGAATGAAGGTAAAGGAATGCTGTGTAAGTATTCAATTTGGTGCTAACCCTACTAAAGTGCCTGTAACCGACAAAGCACCTAGAAGCAAACAAATCAACTTCATACCTTAGTATGACTAAGAATAAGTAAGTACTTAATGCAGCACCTATGCAATCAAGGTACAGAGGGTACTGAGTGACTATGCATTCTAAAGTCCACTTCTGCAAGAAAGCAGAGCACAAGGATGTATTCATAAAGAAGAGACAGGCAGGTGGGCACATGCATGCGCAGGTACACACAACCAACGAGTTAGTTGGATAGGTAGCTCAGTGGGTCAGTGCCTGTCTAAATGACCTCTACGTTCAGTGAGAAATCCAATCTCAAAAATAAGGTAGAGTGATAAGACTAGCAACAGTGACCTCTGGCTTACACATGCACACACCACATACACTCACACATATACCACATCTATGTACACACACAAGCTATGCATGGTAGAACAAGTTTATAATCCCAGCTCTCAGAAGGCAAGGACTGTCCTTTTGAAGTTAGCTTGCTCTATCATAGAGAGCTCTAGGCTTGCAAGAGTTACACAGCTACCCTGTTAAAAACAATAAATAAAGCCAAAGGAGAAATATAAAAGACAAAATTAATCCTATCACATAAAGACCAAGTAAGTATGTAGAGATGCTTCCTCATTTTAAACTTATACAGGACTGAGTGTGGCTCAGTGGTAGAGCACAATCTTAGCACACAGGAGCCCATTTCACCCCCATAAACAACAAGTAAAAAGTACAAATAGCCCAGCAGTGGTGGCACATGCCTTTTAATTCCAGCACTCAGGAATTCGAGTCCAGCCTGGTCTACAGAGTGAGCTTCAGGGCAGCCAGGGCTACACAGAGGAAACCCTATCTTCAAAACTTTAAAACACAAACTTTTCTAAGTACAAATAAAAGGAAGAAGACTCAACTTGGATAAAATGTTGGTTTGTCTAACCATCTAGATTGTAGAGTCCCACAAGCTGCACTTCAAAATACAAAATAAAGGCCAAGCTCATGCCAAGCCATGTTCCCAGCTGCTATGCATCTTTAATTGTACTTTTAAATCTCAAGGGAAGATCATTTTTAATCCTACTTCTGAGAACTACTATTATTTTAGTATCTCAGCAAAGGATACTGTGTGATTGCACAAGCTCAGTAACAAAAAGCAGGTCTGTATCCTAAAGCTGCCTGTAATACCAGTTCTCTAAAAGTTACAAAGCAGGTTTGACACTGTTTGAACAAAATAAAGACAATCAGAAAATTAGAAGCGAATCACCTTAGCCAGGGAGACAATAGATAGGAAACACCAGAATACCTCTACATACTACTCAAATGATATAAAGCAATTGGCACTTAGATGTTGCACGGGTGTGCAACCCTGCAAACCCACAGAGGGTGCAGCACTGTGATGGTGAATTTTGAGGGTCAACCTGACCAAATTTGGAAACACCTAGGAAATTAACCTCCTAATGTCTGTGTTTTCAGATTAGTTTAGCTGAGGAGGTAAAAACCCATCCATGGGTGGCAATCATCCCAGGGGCTATAGTCACAAGCTGAATAAAACCAGGGGAGGGGTAATGTGGACTTTGATGCCTGATTAACAGAATTAGAAGCCATCACTGCCTTCCCCAGCATAAGCCAAAACAAGTCTTTTATCATCCTTAAATTGCTTTCACCACCTATGAGAAAACAAATACAAATGCCTAATTCTTATGTTGACTGAGCATTCCATTGGCTACTTATCCAAGTAAGATAAAAACCGAAAAAA